CTCCATTATCTTGTGCTCCATCTGGTCTTATTTTGTCCCCATATTTTGATGCAGTTGCTGCTATGGATTTCTGCTGTATTTTAAGGATTGAAACTAATTTTTTCAGGGTTGTTTATCTAGGAACAGGATACTGGCTCTTCTGGTCCATTTTTTTGCTGAGTTTTGCTGCAGTCATGGTTGCCTATACTTCATTGCTGTTGGTGAGTAATGCTTTCCCTTTCTCTGTTAATAGCCTCATGAGGCACTCCTGTCAGTGATAGTATCTAATTGGTGTTGGAAACCATTACAACCTGTGATCACTCTAGTCTTAGTATGAGTCATGCTTTATATCAGCCATGTGAATTTTATGCACAATGGATGAGGGAAGAAGCTTATGCAATTACAGGATGTGTCTAACCAATTTAACCCTTTGAAAGGGTGCAGAGCATCCTTTGTCTATTCCCCATTTTCATAACCTATCCTATGGTTTACTCAATAATGTCATTTTTAGATACCCATGCTTCATATCAGCAGTCTTTCTGGGCCTTGTAAATTAAACCTGTTCTAATGTGTAGAAATTAGCCTCTTAGCCCACATGCAAAGCACATTTTAGTTAGTCTGTTTTTGTTTTTGTTTTTGTTTTGTTTTTTGGTGCTAGGGATCAAATTCAGAACCTCATGCAGTGGACATTTTAGCAAGTCTGGGTAATAGTGTGACTGCTTTTGTTGCTCACCACGGTAGTGTTGTGTAGTGAGGCAAATTTATACTGTGCAAGAGCAAATGGAGAGCTGAATGAGAGGATAACTTTAGTAAGAGTTTCTTAGAGCCTATTTATACATAGGGCAAATACCTTTCTCTGATTTCACTATTCTGTGTTCTGACGGATTTCCTATCTAATAGAGAAACCAACCCCTAGATCTATTGCCATTTGTACTGATCTTTCTTCCATCCGAATTTATTAATTATTAAATGAGGAAAACACTGTGATAAGTAATGAATATACAGAAATCAGTAAAATAATCAGTTTCTGTTTTTATGCAAAGTACTCCATAAAGATGGGTGTAAGACATAAAGTTACCACTGTTCCTTCATTCAGTATTCATAATCTAGTAGGGCAACTAAGTCATAGACAAAAATAACATAGAACATTATAATGTTATGATTTAAGAGAGGTCTAAATGAAGTTCTGCAGAGATTCTGAGAAAGAAGGGGTGACTTCCAGTTAATAAGATTAAATAAAATTTCTCAGAGGAGGTACCATTGGAGTGGGACTTTGAAGGGATGATGAATTTGGACTCATGGATATAGGAATAGGGAAGGACATTCTCAGATGAGTGAATATATCATAAGAAAGTAGCAAGACAGGGGCTGGG